CGCTGTGGCTTCCTACGACCAGCTGGCCCACCAGGTGGAGGCGCTCCGTAAGGAGAACTCCCACCTGAGGAGGGAGCTGGAAGACAACTCCAACCACCTGTCCAAACTGGAGACCGAGACCACCGGCATGAAGGTCAGTCTGGATGCAACACCATCACCACCATCACCAACAACACCAACCACAGCAACACCACCATCACCAACAACATCAACCACACCAACACTAACAACACCAACCACACCAACACTACCATCACCAACACCAACCACAGCAACACCACCATCACCAACAACACCAACCACACCAACACTACCATCACCAACAACACCAACCACACCAACACTACCATCACCAACAACACCAACCACACCAACACTACCATCACCAACAACATCAACCACACCAACACTACCATCACCAACAACACCAACCACACCAACACTACCATCACTAACAACACCAACCACACCAACACTGCCATCACCAACAACACCAACCACAGCAACACTACCATCACCACCATCACCAACAACACAAACCACAGCAACACTACCATCACCAACAACACCAACCACAGCAACACCACCATCACCAACAACATCAACCACACCAACACTAACAACACCAACCACACCAACACTACCATCACCAACAACACCAACCACAGCAACACCACCATCCCCAACCACACCAACACTACCATCACCAACAACACCAACCACAGCAACACTACCATCACCACTACCATCGCGGCCGTGGCTCACTGGCTTAAGAGGGTTGTCTGGTAAAGGGTCAACGGTTCAATCCTCGACTGGGACGTGCCACGTGTCGAAGTGTCCCTGAGCAAGACACTGGCTCCCTGGACGCCTGTCATTGGCAGCCCACTGCTCCCTATATACAGGGATGGGTCAAATGCAGAGGTCAAATGTGACATATACACAGAGGTATGTGTATATGTCTATGACAATAAAAAGGGTTTCTTCTCTATCTTCTAGCAACACTACCATCACCAACCACACTAGCAACACCATCAACTACACCTACCATCACCGACAACACTACCAACAACACCAACCACATGAACACTACCATCACCAGCAACACAAACAACACCAACCACAGCAGCACCAACAACACCAACCACAGCAGCACCAACACCACCACAGAGTTAAAGGAGCAATTCTGATATTCTTCATTGTTGTTTGTTCCCTCCTTCTTACAGGAGGGACTCTGGTCTCCCTCATTGTTTCTGCCAACTTGACAGAAGGAGCCCTTTCGCAGTCGCTGTTTATTCGCCAGACAGTTAATGTCTGTACAGTCTGTTACAACAAGACAGTGTAACAGACTCTACAGACATTAGCTGTAGCTACAACATGCACACTGACTGTGTGTTGGAGGTCTGACTGAACGAAGCAGCTCTTCTCGTTCTAGTTTCTGTCCTCTTTCTTTATAAAGCACAATCATACGTCTTTCCTTTTACTTTATGCAAAAGATTTGCTTCACGTTCTGCATGAACTCACCTTGAAAACTGGTCTGTTATCTGGGAACACCTTGGGAGACCTCGTCCAGGATCCCCCAACAACAACAGGTCCCAGTGTTACTACGGCACATAGACCCCTCCACTACGGCACATTTTCACACACACAAGGGATTCAAGGTTTCAAAGAAATAAGCACTGTGTCGGTATCTGAGTATTAGGAGCTTTCCTGTCTGTTGATCTGAGGTTGTTCCTCCTTTTGTGATGCAGGAGGTGTTGAAGCAGCTGCAGAGCAAACTGGAACAGGAGGCAGGAACACTGGCCTCGTCCGGGAGGAGCGACGTGCTTGACCAACTGAAAGGTCGGTATCAGTTTCATGATATTCATCTTCTCACGTGAACCAGAACAAAGAAGTTTCACAAAAATCTTGTAATGTTCCTTTAACGTCTCCGCTCAGTAACAATAGATGAATGTGATTCTGATTCTGCCCGACTCTTCTGTTTTTTCCGAGGCTCCGGTGGGACCAATCGTCATTCACAGAGAAATGAATTGACTCAATCAGCTAACCTGATTGGCTGCAGCTGATTGGCTGCAGCCTCGTTATGACTCAATCCAATTACAACTAATTCATGTCAATTAGTTTGTCGGGACTGAAAATCCAATTAACTCCAGCTGAGATCAACAGCAGATGTGATTATAGGATTAGGTCCAATTCTGTGTCGGAGATGAAATAGGTGTAAGGGAGGAAGGAAGAAAGCAGGGAAAGGTAAGAAGGAAGGAAGCAAATGAAAGGAATGAAGGTAGAAGGAAAGGAAATGAAAGCAGGAGAATAGGAAGAAGGACAGTAGGCTGGAAGGGAGGGATGAAAGAAAAGAAGGATGGAACAAGGAAAGCAAAGAAGTAAAGGATGGAAGGAAATTAATGAAGGAGAAGAGGAAGAAGGACAGGAGGAAAGTCCAAGGAAAGTAAAGAAATAAAGGATTTCTGTTTGCATGATTGATTGACTGATTATTGATCCTCTTCCCCCCTTAGAGCTCCACATGGACCTCACCAATTACTACGAACTCAAGCACCAGCCTCACAACCTGAGGCTGCTGACAGACAGCCTGGGAGGGGCGGGGCTAGGAGGTGTCGGAGGGGCAGAGTTCGATGACCGGAGTCCGCTCCGAGCCCCATCCCGCCTGAGCGCAGTGTCTGGCGGAGAGGCGGGCTCCATCCTGCTGCCTCATCACTTCCTGGATGGGGCGCCGCCCAAAACAGCTGTGATCAGCGGGGCGGATGGACGAATGAGCGACCACCACCAAGAGGAGCTGTACAAGGAGAGGTGAGAGGATTCTTGTAGTTCTCCTGGAGATCATGGAGATGTTGGTCAAACCATCTTTCTTTTTTTTTTTCAGAGTTAGATGTCTGCTAAGGCACTGCAGATATTCTCCACATAATGCATCCTGAACTGAGCTTTTCTACACTACCAAATAAAAGCCATATAATTAGAATCTTTTTCAAAAAGATCTGTTTCATTGAAAGATGCTCAATTTTATTATCATTATAGTATGTAAGATACGAAAACATTCCCATCCGTGGATGAAGATTTAAAAGAAAGAAAAGGCAAAAATACATGTGTGCAAATATATATATATAACTTGTAGGAAAAAGGTTAAATATGAATTATAATATATTTACCTCTGTTCTTTGGCTTTTGAATGTACTTAATTTTGCCACTGCTAAATGTTTGTTTATTAGTTTTTGCATTACTCGTCCATCTGATCTTCTCCCGGGTTTATACATGTTTTTGGTCACCTCATGTTGTTTTAAATGTGAAATCAAATTTGATAAACATGACAATGAAACTTAAATATACATACAATAAAATGGTGATAATAACATATATAACATATTACTAATAATGAAAAGAAAATATAGAATAAATACAAAACACACACACACACACACACACATCCATACGGAGGCTAAACTTGTGTTTAAATGTTGAGAAAACATTCCGACTTCGTCCTGTGTGTGGATGGAGCTCGTATCATCTTTGTAGCTCCACATGTCACCGAGCAGTGGCCTCTTATCCCTCTCTGTTGGCGTGACGTGTGTTTTCGTGGCCCACGAGCCGGCGCATTGAGCGTTAGCACTCCTGACGCTAACAGCGCTACCTGTCTGTAGGAACCTCCTGCTGGGGGAGATCGACCGGGAGGAGAGGGAGCGCTGCTGGTACTTCAGCCAGCTGGAGGAGCTGTCACAGAGACAGGCTCATCTGCCTCGCATCGACACGGTGAAAACACATACACACGCACACACACACACACACACACACACAAACGCCCACATGCACACAGCGTATGGAAAGTAATCAAGTTAATTTACTCAAGTACTGTACAACTTTGAGTATTTCCATTTTCCGTTACATTGTATTTCTACTCGACTATATCAGAGGGATGCTTTTTACATTTATCTAATAACTTGAGTTACTTTACAGATGAATAAGACAAAATATTATCAACAAATAAACTAAGATATATTATTTCCAGTTAGTGAGATACAACTTCATTGATTCGTGGGGAAATTCACAAACTACCTGGCAGTATATGAAGCCATTAAAATCAGCTCCACTTATACCAGCTGCGACAATAAAGTGACACATTAATGCATCAATAAATATAATACAATATTATAATATTTAATAATCTGAAATGGGCCATTCTGCACAAAGAGTACTTTTACTTTTGGTACTTCAAGTACATTTTCACACAAATACCTTTGTAAACATTTTTTATTTAACTTTTATTTCTAGGCTGTGGAGTTACAACTTTTACTTAAGTAAAAGATTGGAGTAGTTTTTCCACGAATCATTTATATGTTGATTATATTTTGTATTATTAATCTAAATCTGGAAAGCAACTCATGTTGTTGAATAAATGTAGTGGAGTAAAAAGTACAATATTTCTACAAAGTAGCAGAAGTATAAAGTAGCAGCAAAAAGAAATAATCATGTACAAGAACCTTAAAAATGTTAAGTACAAGTACTTGAGTAAATGTACTTGGTTTTCTTGGGACAACAGCTGCAAGTAATGATAACTGTATTTACATTATCGATTCCTCAGTGTCAGAATATGTAGTTCTCCGTTTCTCAGAGTCCAACGTGACGTCGTTATACGTTGTGTTTTGTTTGACCAACTGTCCAAAATATATACAAATATTCAGTTTACTGAGGAATAAAACATTGGAGAGACTGGAACAAGAGAATTGATGTTTAGTTTGATGAATTACTTAAATAATGAATCAATCAACAAACTTGTTGGTGATTATGTTTATTTTGTTTGACTGACTGTCTGAACGAGAAGTCAACGACTGTGCCATATTTGGTCAGAATAAAAATCTGATCACAAATATGTCGCTGTAGTTTTCTCTGCAGATGGATATGATCAGGCAGCAGCTGGAGTTTGAAGGCCAGCGGGTTCGATCTGTGATGGAGGAACGTTTCGGCACCAGCGACGAGATGGTTCAGAGGACACAGGTGAGGCCGAGGCTGCTGATTGGACGGGGATTTGCACCTTCAGCCACAGCAGATTATGTCATCAAATTATTTTTATTAACAAAAGATTCAAAATCTAAATTAATTTAAATTAGTTTTGATTAAACTACATAGTTGAATAGTTGACGGGAGACAGCTGGTTAATGGAAACACAGCACATCTGGACGTGTCTGAACCGTGTCTGAACCGCGTGTGTGTGTGTGTGTTGCAGATGCGTGTCGCTCGTCTGGAGCAGCTGGAGAAAGAGCTGCAGGAGGCCCGAGGGAATCAAGAGACCCAGCTACAGGTAAGCCATACACACAATACACACACATTACACACACAAACAGATGGAGCACACAAACAGACAATCTGCAGTGAATCTGGTAAATATAAAGGGTTCATAAATGTTCTATTCTGGGCTTCAAAACATTTTCAGAAGTGACCCGACGCTAAAGCAAGGCCGTTGAGAGATCAGTCTTTTAGTTTCAGGTATCTTTGACTTGTTTGGATCTTAAGGTGGTCTTTATAGATGTGCTTCAAGTGTTACGTCAGCTAAAGGTGGAGACACACAATCTCCAAATCTGATTCGTCTGGACTGGTTGGACTGTACTAGTCTGGGTCAGCTGGAACCGATAAAGTAATGTAGTGTGTGATATGGAAAGAGTCTCATCTGAAATCTTTCATTTCACTAAGGGAGATGTACCTGTTGAATTTTCCTGTGGCACTTTCTGATATGACGTGATGTAAACTTATGGCTGAAACATGTTTCTCCGGTGATCAGGGGTTGATCCAGAAACACCAACACGCATATACATTTATATGTATGGATTTTGAGCATATTGTAATCCAGACGGTCATAGGATAAACCAAACAGCTTTCTTGATGTTCGAATCTGCTACTTTGGGATTCCCTGCGACCTACGATTTATCCAGAATACCATTCTTTGCTTTAACATGTATCTTCAGAGAGCCTTAACTCCGACATTGCGCACCAGTTCACCCTTGCATCTCAACCAGGCGGCAACCTCCGGTTCTGCCAAGTGAAGCCGATGCGGAAGTGTCTTAAGACTTGTATTTTCTCTACTGACCATCAGGGTCCTCTCGTTGCAAAAGGAAGTTTGTATAGAAGTCTATGAGAAAATGATTCTACTTCTCTCTTGATTTATTACCTCAGTAAACATTGTAAACATGAGTTTATGGTCTCAATCTCTAGTTTCAAGTCTTCTTCAATACAGCATGATGTTCATTTAGTAAATAATGGTCCATTTAGAGTAAAATAGACCATAAAGCAGGGTATGCTTTAGGGCGGGCTTACTGTGATTGACAGGTTGCTGCCGCTACCGAGCCGTATCTGGCCTCACTACCTCACTCCTCCGCATTCCAAATATGGTAACTTCTGTTCATTGTTTGCAAAAAAGCCCAACAGGCGACGGCCTTATACTGAGATGGCGACGGCAGAATCGTCGAACTCGAAGGCTTACTAACGGCAGTCCACAAACCAATGGTGGACGTCACAATGACTACGTCCGCTTCACATACACAGTCTGTGGTCTCAACTTGTTCTCAGTGGTTCACTGCAGCAGTCGTTCCCAGTCTAACTCCACCTGAGTCAGCGACACTGAGCCATCTAAAGCCCAGACCCAGAAACCCGGGTACAGAGGCTCAGTGAAAGTAAAGTTGAAGGTGTGAAGGTGGACCATGGTGTTCTGAGAGATGCAGTAGAATGACAGAGAGCCTGCAGACCAGTTCAGGTAAACCCCGACTCTGTGGGTGAAGGGTCGGGGTGAGGAGGACCTGAATCTCTTGTTATGGTGGCACGGTGTATAGCTTCCCTCCGAACACTCCAGGCTCCAGGACCGCTCGCCGTGTCCCAGCAGACAGCTCGCTGTGTCTCCGTTTCTGGAGATGCTGTTGTAGGTGACGCCGATGTCTGCACCGCCGCTCCATTCCACCTCCCAGTACACCGAGTCCAGCAGCCCCTCCCTGCACAGGACTTGAGGGCAGTGCTTAAACCGGTCCGGATGCTCCGAGGGCTGGTGGTCCGACCATACTCGAGTCGCCCTCCTGTTGCAGTCGGTCAGATGGAGCTCTGAGTTGGCAGTGTTGGGATCCAAGGTCAAATAACAGGCAACTGATGGACGAAACAAGGAACAAGATTAGTTGATTCAGCAATTCATGTTGGTAATCTGGTTCCTGCTGCCTTTCTTTGTTTCATATGATAAATTGAATCCCTTCAGGTTTTTAGACCATTGGCAACTATTTGATGTTGGAAATTTGATTAAAACTGTTCATATTTTATAGACAAAATGCGTCAAAAAATAATTGATTTATTAGGTCTTATCACTGACGAGTAACCAACCAGAATAGTTGGTAGTTGTTGCTGCTAACAGAGATTTTGGCCAATTATCTTCAGATCAACAAATAATCTTCACATCATCTCAAGATGACTAATTGTGTTTTAGTTGTGCTCATACTTTACTTTTTAAAGCTGGTCTTTTAAGGTAACGTTTTAAATATCACGTTTGCAGGAACATAATGTCATGTAAAAAGTTGCAGAAAGATATAAAATCTATGTGAGCTTACAGTTTTTCACCAACCACGAGTCTCTTCCCGGCTGAGCCCTACAAGAACAGAAATAACCACGACGTCATACGTTGAGCATTTCAGAACAAAGTGTTGGATTTGGCTTCCTGAGGTTTACTCACCTCATGTTGTCTTTGTTTAGGTTTCTCAGACTAAAGAGATTGATCCCAGACGGCAAAGGCTCCCAGAGAAGAGTCTGTGAATCCTTCATTTGTTGTTGTTGTTGTTTTTCTTCTTCTTCTTTCTCTTCCTCTTCTTTTTGCTCTTCCTCTTCCTCTTGTTTGTTGTTTATCCTCTCGTCTTCTGCTGACACCTCAGAGTTGTCACTCCCGTCTTCACTCTCACTTCTCTGCTCGGCTGTAGAATTGATGTGTTGTAATGCGTGTTACACAATGTCAAATAATGAGGCAACATTTTCTGATGAAGCCTTGAATACAACCCAGACAAAAAATGTTGATATCGGACAATTCGACAATTTATAGCATTACGGAGCAATGTTTTTGTGACTGGGTTCCAGGTTTGTTTGTTGTTATTCATACGTGTGAGCAGCCCGCTCTCACAGAAATACGTGAAATGACCACATCCTCTTAACAGAGCAGTAAATGCATCCGCGTGAATGTGCAACGCTCATAGCTAGGGACATAGTACTAACAGTGAGAAAGACTATACAGGAACGTTTAACCAGGAGAACGGTGTTTTCTTGTCCCAAAGTGTTTAGTTATTGTGAAGTTCCGTGTGTGATGTTTTTACGAATTTTACTTATTTTACATACTTATTTTAAGGCCAACCATGATGTTTTTCATAAACCTAATGTTAGTTTTGTTACACCTAAGTTTATGTACTTATTTTAAACCCAACGATGATGTTTTTCATAAACCTAACTAAGTGGTTGGTTTCCTAAGCCTAAGATAACGTACTTAGTTTCAGCCCAACCATAACATTTTTCCTAAGTTGTTTTGTTGCTAATACTAACATTCAATTGTTTCCGTGGTGGTGGCACGTCATTTTACACATTACGTGCCACCACCACGTTTTGGCTGTTAACAGGTTGTTGTCATTTCACGGGTTTCTGTCCGATTACATTGCAGTGTGCGGTTACGTGATCCACAGTCCTGTTAATGGCTTCCCACTATTCTCTTTATCTGCAAGTCAAGGAAATGCACCAAGAAATGCAGTCGAACTGCGTCTTATTCATTCATTTTTCAGGTGTCGGAACTGGCTACGTCAGACTATTTTTGTATTTGTATGTATGTGCTTCACCCAAGACCTGACTCTTATCTTCATCCTTTCTTTATAATCACTTGTTTGATTTACGAAAAAATGTCCTCATGAACTCCGATTTTTACAAATCGGGATTCAAATGTTTAAAGTTTAACAGTTGTAGGTTAACAGTGAAAAAGGTGGAGCCTACCTGCCTGTGATGTAGGAATTGTCCCATCAGTTTCTTGTGTTTCAGAATGACTTGTCGTTGTCTCACCAGAGACAGTTATATCCACTTCACTGTCCTCCTCTTTATTCGTTCTGTCTTTCATGTTGTCGTGGATTTTCTGGGTATCGACCGTCTCTTCGTTCTGCTCCGAGAGGTTTCCCCTAAAACCAGCGTCCATTTGTTCATCACTCGTCTCTGAAGATGTCTTTTCAACTTCCTGAATGTTCTCTGCCTTTTGGGAAATCTTTTGGTCTCTTCTAAACAGAGTCTGTATAAAGGGTTCATCCGTCCTTTTAGCGTTCATCTTGAAGGTGTTGGATGAGTCTGGCTTCGCAGTGGCATCCCTGTTGTCTCTCTCCTTTGAAAGACCGATTCTGAAGACGTTAGACAAGTCGTCTAGAAAGCTCAGGCGGTTGATCGTCTTCTCTGCTGACTGGCTGGTTTTAGGATCTATGGACTTTGTTTGTTTGGACGAGCTGAAGATGCTGGTCACATCTTCTTTAAGCTGGCTGAGGTCCTCTTTCAGGAGGTTGAGCGTGCTGGTGGCAGGTTTATTGTCTGCCTGCCTTGATGGGCTTGTGTCTCTCTCCTTCAACACCTTCAACACTTCTTCCTTCAACTGGCTAAAGTCCTCTTTTATGTAGCTTGTAACCCTCTGACTCGCCTTTAGAAGGTCTGTCGTCCTCATGTTTCTGTCTGTTTGATCTTCTGGGTCACAGTCATTTGTTGCCTCATCCTCTTGGATGTGTATTTCAGGCAGTTTCTGGTCATTTTCCTGTGAAGGTTCCTCAACAAGACAACTTTGTTTGTTTGTATTGGTGGACAGTTCAGAGAGCCCCTGTATTATCAGATACATGTGGAAGGAAGGAGATTTAGTAACAAGCAATGATTGTTCACTGTGAAATGGTTTGTCTAGAAATTATCTTCCATTCATAATCATAAATGCTATTTGTTGACTCTGTGGTTAGAGAGTGGTGACCTCTGACCTTGACCATGAAGCAGGTTACTTAATGAGATAAACCAGTTCTTTCTTTTAGGCTAGTTGGAACATGTAATGTAAAAATGTAAAACAAAAATAAATGTATTAACAGAGATCTGCATAAATCGAATTACACCAAAAATCGTTAGCAGTTTAATACATATTATTGAGGCACATTGGAGATTAGTTTGGCTGTTAAAGTTGTTGGATTACAGTTGAACACGTAACTGCATATCAGAAGCATTTAAATAGAACAAACATTGGGCAGTGGGAGAAAGTTCGGTTGGAGAGCTATCGATCGTGATTTTCAAGTACTTCCTTTCAAATTCTATGATACTTTATACTTCCACCTTACTACAATTCAAGAATGTAGGTGGGAAGTAACTAAGTACATTTACTCAAGTACTCTGCTAAAGTACAATTTTTGAGGTACTTGTACTTTACCTGAGTATATCTATTTTTCTCTATACTTCTACTCCACGACATCTCAGAGGCAAATATTTTATATTTTACTCATGCTAGATTTATTATGATGATTAAAAACAAGTTATTTGTCTGTTCCGTGAGAGTGGTGACCTCTGACCATGGCCTTGAATAATATTAATAAATAAGCTAAACCAGAATCCTTTGTTTTTGGCTTTGAGACAAGTTATTACAGGTGTGACGTAAGATAGGGCTCAAATAGACAGCAACAATGTTCGTGAAAGATAATAACAATATTCAGATTTTCTACTTAAATTGTCTTTGACGAGCTCTTGCCCCTTACACTACCAATTTAAGTAAGTTAAATGATTTATGCTCAAATAAGGGTCAACATGTTAGAATTGTCATTGTGAGCATGTTAACATGTTAGCATTTAGCTCAAAGCTCTATTGTGTGTAAGTGCAGCCTCACAGAGCTGCTAGCATGACTGCTGATTAATCCTGTTCAGTTCATCAAATGTAAACAGCAGAATTCCCATAATGCAATGCCACATTTTCAAACTACTTATCTAGTCCGTCTAACATTCCAAAACCCAATAGAAATTCTTATAATTTATTCATATGAAACGGTGACAAGCCGGAAATCTTTCTTAAAGCTGGAGCCGTAGATCATCTGTATAATGACTTAAACATTGTTATAACATTGCAACTGTCACACGATTTGTTTTGTACACTCGGGATTAAAGTTACACCTACTCTGAACTCTCTACACCTCTCAGTACATGCTCAGGCTCGTTTCAAGTTTTTCTCATAATCTGGATCAACCAGAGCATCTCAGCCGGATACTTACAGCTGCTTCAGTCTCCATGTTTCTGTCAGATTCTTCAGTGGAAAACACAACAAGTCCAAAAATCCAGATTTAGTGTCCTCAGTCTGAGTTGTTGTGGCTGTAATCTCTGTCTGTCTCTCTCTCTGCGGTTGAAAGGGATGGCCGGCATTCTGTCATTCAGCTGAACATGTTTCTGGTTCGACCAGTTTGTCTCCATATTTCACTTTGACAGCTCAGCTTCTAATTGGCTGATGAGTGCAGGAATTTGGGTTGTTTCTCTCTGGGTGTTCTGCTTTAAAAATAAAAAAAAACTGCTGCTCATCACTTCTTTCAAGGGTTAGCAGTCGTTTTAGGTTGAGTTTTAATATAATTTGGTTAATGTTTGTTTTTAGGTTGTTTTTTTCAGGGTTTCACTGAGCCATCATAGTTTTTATATTATCATATACAACTATAAAACTACCAGTTTAAGGCTCTAAAGGTCAGGAATAAATGTTGTACAAGTAATGTTGTAGTGGATACATATTGTAATGAATCTCTTTAAACATAATTGACATTTAATGAAGAAAAGGTTAAAACATGTTGGTAAAAGCTGCAATAACAGATTTTTTTCACCTGATAAATAGTTGATGCTAATCAGCTGAATGCAGCCAAGCGGCTGAAATTCACAAAATATGATGTTTACTTCCTCTGGTCAAATCATCACTTCTGGGACAGTTCAACTTTTTCAGATCTGTCAAATAAGAGCTGAAGCAACTGAAACAGTTGAATCAGTAAACTGGGTGGTGGGGAGGGGCGAAGTCTGACTTCTTGAATTATGAGTTATCTCGGCTGTGCTTTAGCAGGTTGAACTCAATGTGACCTTTGACATACAAAACCAAATTATGAAAAACATCTTTTTACAGTTTCAAATCATTTTAATGGTGAGAACATTTACTTTATAAAAGGAATAATAAATGAATAATACAAATTAAAAGTATTTATACCAAATCACACTTTTATAACCCAGTCACAAAAAGCGTTACAGTAAGAAACAACGTTAAAAAAATTATTAATTGAAAACCTTAAAAAGTTTGAAAACATTATTTAGGAGATATTTTGGAGATTTTCTTGACTGGGAAAATAAACAAAGATCTGCACTTTTACTCCACTATATTATCTGATAACTTTACTTATACGAAATATAATTTGACGAATAAATTATGATATATTATTCAAGGGTAGGCTACCCAGCCTTATATAAAGTCATTAAAATGAGTTTTTTGCAGTTGCAACATTAAAGCGATGAACACAACAGTGCCTCAATAATTATAATCCAATAATATGATATTCAGAAATGGACCATTCTGCATGACTATTGCTATTACTTTTTGTACTTTAAGTATATTTTGATGCTAATGATTTTGTGCTGAAGTGACATTTTGAATGCAGGACTTGTAAAAGAGAAGTTCTACACAGTGGTATTAGTACTTTTTAGTTGGAATGAAATAGATCAAGAATAGAAATTTTGATTTAACATGCAGACAATAATAATAAACTACTTGCGTGATTTTATATGGACTCATGAGTCTGAATTATAAGTTGAATATATTGGCTTGGACTTTATAAAGAACAATTATTTGATTAAGTTATCAATAGAAAATTCATTGGTAATAATTCTGATAATCAAGTAAGTATTTTTAATCATTTTTCAAGGAAGGCTTTCTTTGACTTTTGTAACAGTACACTGTAATATTATAGAGATTAATGGATAAAGTATTCAGCAGAATAATCAATATTAACATAGTTGTTCGTGGAACCAGCGGCTGTAAAAAACTAAATAATTCAATATTAACCCAGAATATCTCCCAAACTGTAATTTGTACTTGTATTATCTCGTATGTTCTTCACATGAAGGTTCTGGTTCAGAAGAACCTGAAGAACATGATTAAACATTGAACATGTAGACGACCCTCTTCCCCCTCTTCCCCCTCCCCCTCCTCCTCCTCCTCCTCATCCTTGCTCTGTCGCTCTCCACCTCGGCTCGTCGCTACGCAGAGAAACCAGGTCTCAGAGCTGAGCTTTGATTGGCTGTTGCCAGGCTGCAGGGTTGGCACAGAGTGAGAGTGTCTGAGATAAAGAGAGCGAGGCGGTTCGTCCTTTCTGCTGCTCTGCTTCCCTGTGAGAATACCAACGAGGCAGCAGAGGGATGGAAACGTCAAAGAGACGAGCCGACACTATTTTATTCTTACAGGCTCAGTTCATCCAGATTGCACAGTCTGGTTTGAGCTGCTCACAGTGTTGAAAGAACATTTAAAATATTCAACAATTCTTTCAGAGACGGAGACCTGTCAATCTGGATGATTCGCACAACTCACTGGAGACAGATTTTCATTGGCACTATTTCTATTTGAAGGTATTATAAGCGTGGAAAACAGACCCAAACTCCAGCGTGCAAGTTTTAAGTTAAGAAAAAGGAAACGAAAGAACAGACTGGGTCAGATCCGGTCCAAAATAGACCTGTAGAAAAAGCTTTTAGGCGGTTTCAGCACCCAGAATCAAACTAGTGCGCTCATTTAAATCCCTTCTCTCCTTTGTTTCATGGTTAGTGACAAACAGATTCAAATTAGATCAGAATCGAGGAAGGAGCTCTTTGTATTTCCTGAAAATATTTATAGGCGGAGAAAAATAAGTAAATAATACATTTTATTTATATAGCCCTTTTTAAGACAAATGAATTAAAGTGCTTCACAGGCAGTAAACGCAGATACATGAAGCTAAATAAAGCAATAAACTAACTATAAAAAAACGAGCAGCAGAAAAAAGATCAATAACAAAATAATAGTGGTAATAGTACTAGTATTATTATTTTATTATTATTATTATTATTATTTTATTATTACTACTATTAGAGAAAAGCCTCCTACTTCATGTGGAATACAGACAATATATTGTTTATTTATTTTGCATTCAATCAGACATGATTTGCTCAGATGAATCATGCATTAATGTTGATTTGTGTTTATGTACATTATGTGCACATTTCTATTTGTTTAAATGATCTGCTGGCGCATTATAATTAGGCTGTTGATATTTTTATGAGGACAATTGATTATAGCTGTTAGATGCTGTTGTTTATGAATGTAAATAATCCAATGAAGGATGTGTCATACAAACCACCAAACTGGTTAATAAAATGATTCATGAATTCATTCACACATTCATAGTACAGTTTCTGACCTAATCCATCTGAATGTCGACCTCCTTTGGGAGGATTTTGATGACCAGAGCTGTAATCTGAGTCATTCATTCAGTGCGTCCTGTAAACTAAACAGTAGACAGTGAATGAGATGTCAGACACTTGTGATGTTAGCAGAAATTAGTGCACATTCATTTACAGTAAATGTAGCACAATATATAATAAACAGGGATTTTTTTGGACACAGCTCAGGAGTGGAGCCACAAATGTAAAGTTTGTATTGAAAACAAATATCTGTGTGTTAGATTTAGGTGTCATTTGTACATTTTGTCCTGCTGGTGGATCACAGGATCGCCAAAATCATGAGGATGTATCCTCTGGAGACTGTGAAAATCACTTAAGAAGGATCTTATAGGACGATTCCACTTCTATGGAGCAAAAAGCGATTAAGTGTAGAGTAATATGCAGAGTATAGTTGCAAGGAGTAAGAGGTAGATATGTATACGCTAAGATATACATTATGGACTAAAAGATATGAAGTACAGGTGTAAGTATCAGAATCAGCTTTATTGGCTGTGTATGCATACGCATACAAGGAATCTGACTCCGGTTTTCATGTTGCTCTCAGCGTACATACATAGAATATACAAATAAAGTACAAGTAATGGCAATAGCAGACATACAAAATAAGGAAAAATGAAAGTGAATACAGATCATATATATTTATCAGTTATCGTTGTTGGTGCTTTATTTGTTGGTGAATAAGTCCTGCAGCTGTAGACAGCAGACGTAGCAGATATGTGTCTCTGCTGCTGCTGATGGAGGAATCAGGGAAAAGCAGATGAAGAGAAGTGGTTGTGTTTCCTCTCGTCTCGCCGGCGTCCATTTTGTGGTCATGTGTGCAGCTGGTTGTTTTAATGGAGGAGGTTTGGATCAGAGCCACAGATGCCGTCACAAACACGGAGAAAGAAATATTCTGATTTCCTTTGTTAAAACACACACACACACACACACACACACACGCACGCACCGAGGATTTCAATCTGTGAATCCAAATGAAGCTCAGAGAGTTGAATCAAAGCTTTCATCCCCCTCTCTCCATCCTGTCACCATGGCAACGCCTCAGGGTGTGATGTGTGCGTGTGTGTGTGTGTGTGTGTGTGTGTGTGTGTGTGTGTGCGTGTGTTTGTGTGTGTGTGAGCGAAAGACCGTCTGCAGACAAAATGTGTGCGTGTGTGTGTGAGGATTAGCAGGCGGTGAAATTAAGGTTTTTACAGTTTTTGTGTTAAATTCTTTGATAAAGCAGCAGACATATCAAATATTTCCATCTGATACGATTCACTCATAAAAAAGAAAAATCTGTAGTTTGAATTACTTCACTTAGTGAGAGGTTACAAAACAAACACAATAATAATAATTATTATTATTAGAATTATTTAAACAGTGTTTTAAAACCTAAATAATAATCATACAAAGACATCTCACCAAAAATAACCCGAGATTTCATCAATTCAGAAACAAAAAACAAAGGCAATAATTAAAATCATGACAACAACATAAGAAAAAAAACACCAAAAATGAATAACCAATCAGTACTTTAAATACATAAAGTGCCATACATGTGTCAAAAAATGTTCAAGTAGTTTGGTTCATGAAACTTTCAAACTAAAAAATGTATTTCTCATAAAAGATTTAGAAACCTTCCTCGACAACAACACTCATCATTTATCACTCCAAATTGAAATTATTAAAAGTAAAACCCGAATAAGTAATACTTAATAAGTAAAAAAGTTAAAAAACAAACAAACAAAACCTCTGGCAGTTTAAAACTTGTGTATCTTAATTGTACAATGTCTATAAAAAGTATTCACCCCCCTTGGATGTTTTCCCCTTTTATTGCTTTTATACATGAAATCATGATCAGTATAATTTGGCTTTTTTGACGAGAATTTGCAAAAAACTTCTTTCATGTCAAAGTGAAAACAGATTTTTACAAACTAATGTCAATTAATTAAAAACATATAGTGTAATATAAGTGTTTGCATGAATATTCACCCCCTTTAAAGTGACTGACCTAATTCAACAGAGGTCCAGCTGATGCCAGCAGTGTCACATGTAGTGAAATGGAGATGTGTGCAGTTGATGTGTGTCAAGTGATTGTAGTATAAAAACACCTGTCTGGGAGGTCCAGTCTCTGGTTCATCAGTATTCTTGCTACAATTGCAACATGAAGACACTCCCAAAGAACACTCCCAGCAACTCAGAGAAAAGATCATTGAAAAGTACAAGTCAGGAGATGGCTACAAAAAGATTTCCAACTCACTGGACATCCCACAGAGTTCAGTTCAGTCCATCATTAAGAAATGGAAGGAGTATGGCACTTGTTTAAATCTCCTAGAGCTGGCCGTCCTCACAAACTGAGTGACGGGGCAAGATGAGGACTGATGAGGGAGGCCACCAAGACACCTACGACCACTCTGAAGGAGTTCAAAGCTTCAGTGGCTCAGATGGGAGAGACTGTACTGTACATACTGCAACTGTTGCCCGGGTTCTTCACCAGTCGGAGCTGTATGAGAGAGTGGCAAAGAGAAAGCCACTGTAGAATAAAGCTCATATGAAATCTCGCCTGGAATTCAAAAGGCATGTGGGAGACTCCCAGGTTAGTTGGAAGTATTTATCTACCTGGACTTAAGTCTGTAGACATAAGAGTCAGTCAGAAGTGTCTGTCCCTGCTGCGTATCTCCCACGGCATGTCCTTCCCTTCTGCTCTCTATTTCATGAGGGACCCGTCGCTGCATCCTGTGCTTAGATCCAGCCAAGACGACCATGATTGGTTTGAAGAAATACAAATGAGCCAGAGTGTTTTGGTTCCCATTTACCAGAATGATGACGTGTGGAGCCAGACCTGTCTCCACAGAGCTGTGGAGACAGGTCTGGCTATGCAAGACTTCTGTAATAAAACATTCTTCAGCCGTTGGCCTGAAAACACACTGAAGGCAGAAATAGGTCAGAGTTGTTTTCCTTTCTCTTCTCTGGCATCCGGCCCAGAATGGACCACACCTGCTGCACTGACTATAACAATAATAATAATAATAACAACATTAATACACCATTAAATTGCAACACACTCCTATGTTTTTTACATGGAAATAAAACAGGAAAATGTCAACTATGTAAGGAAAATCTAATTGAATTGCTCAGTCAGCATTTTTTTAAATCATGTAATAGATATATTCAGTAGGTATGTACTTCTGATATAACTGGATCATCTCTGACAGGAATCAGGTACTCTGCTGGGTGCCCTGTTACAAAATCCGATCAAATCAAATTGTTTGCTCAGTTTCCCCACCTTCTCCTCATGTCTTCTTCTTCTCTCTTTGTGTGTGTGTGTGTGTGTGTGTGTGTGTTTGTGTGTGTGTGTGCAGCTGTGTGGAGCTGAGAAGCCCCCTGCTGGAGAACCAGATAACAACGCGTCATCATCCGCAGCAGCAGGAACGGAAGCTTCTGCAGATGGAGGCAGCAAGGTAACACATCACCGACCCACATAATAGCAGAGGGTTAATACAGAGACGTCACGACCGTCCACAGGGTAGAATATAACATATACTGATCACATCACATACATACATCTATTATGTATTATGTAATTAGATTATTATTACTCATGCATTCATGTAAAAGCAGGATTTTACTGTTGTAGATGTTTAAGGTGGAGCTCATTTTGATTATTAACTATTGATTATTTTCATTATGGATCAATCTGCTGATTATTTTCTCCATTAATTGATTGTTTTGTTTGTAAGAATAGTGACTAATGCCGTTACAGTTACCCAGAGCCCAAAGTGACACCTTCACAATGTTTGTTTTGTCTCCCAACAGTCCTGATCTCAACATTATTACTAATATATTACTATTATTAATATTATTACTAATACATTACTATTGTTAACATTATTACTAATATATTACTATTGTTAATATTATTACTACTAATATATTACTATTGTTAACATTATTACTACTAATATATTACTATTGTTAACATGTCAGTAAAATGATTGATTAATCGACTGATTGTTTCAGCTGTACTTGTATAAACTATTGGTAGTAAAGTATAATTACTTGGGTCAATGTACTAGGTTACATTCCACCACTGTTGTCACTCAGTGTAATCATCATCATCATAGCTAATACTCACTCAGTTGTGAATGAAAAACTTCTCACTCTTAATTGTTTTATAACAATAACTTCTTTATTTAATCTAAAGCAATGGTTAGAAACACAGTTGGTGCAAGTTTTTAATAGCATAAATTTACCCCGAATAAATAAGAAACAAAATAACCTAGATTTTATCAAACTACAACTTTTTTACTACGAATACTATAGAAATATTGTTTTATATAAATCTGCCTTGAAGTAAAACCATATAAAAACTGCAGGATCATTTTGAAAACAATGAACCCTAAAAAGCTATAACATTCAAAACCACGAGAAAGGTCCTATAATACTGCCATGTTCTTAATTAATACTGCCACTAATGATAATAACGATATTAATTAAAGTCGCCCTCCCCCTCCCGTCAGGTGGAGATGGTGTTCTGGCTGCTCTCCATGCTCGCTAACAGAGATAAGGAGGAGATGTCTCGGACTCTGCTGGCCCTGTCCAACTCTCAGGACAGCTGCATCGCCATGAGGAAGTCCGGCTGCGTCCCCCTGCTGGTCCAGATCCTGCACGAAGGAGGCGGGGAGACGGCCACGGGCAGTGTGCCGATGGGCTGCAGCAAAGAGGCCAAATCCAGAGCCAGCGCCGCCCTCCACAACATCATCTACTCCCAGCAGGACGAGGGCCAGTCCCGCCGGGAGATGAGGGTGCTGCACATGCTGGAGCAGGTCCGGACCTACTGTGACAGCGGCTGGGACTGGATCGAGAGCCACGCAGGGACGCCGTCACCTGGAGGGACCAAAACCACCGGTGAGTAATAGTCCTCTAAACACAGAGAACTCAAAAACTACTGGTGAGTTATGTTTAAACCTCTTAGATACTTCTACTCCTCTACATCTCAGAGGTCAAATATTCCTCTTATTTACTGCACTACATCTGTCTGACAGCTGTAGTTACTATACAGATTCTGATTAATATAAAATATACAATCAACTATAAAATAATTATACAGTATATAATTGTTGAAATTAGGTCCACCTTCACCAGCTGCCACATGCTTACCTATTTATGCATCAATAATGTAATTGTGCATTTTTCATGAAATGGGCCATTCTGCATATTTTAGTATACTTTGATGCTAATTATGTTGTACTTTTACTTGTAACAGTATGTTAACACTGTGGTATTACTATTTCAACATTTTAAGCAAATGTTCCACCACTGTCAAATTTTCATCTTTGCATAAAAAATTGAAAAACAATCTTTCCTTTTAAGTACTCAGTTTGTATTGTACATGAAGGCACATATCTTTTTCCTCATTCTGTAGATTTATTGTAAATTAACTCCCCAAAACCCTCTATTCTTGTTTTTCTTCTACGCAGACATCCCTGAACCTGTGGACCCTCAGATCTGTCAGGCCATGTGCGCCGTCATGAAGCTTTCCTTTGAAGAGGAGTACCGACGCGCCATGAATGAATTAGGTACGTTTAAAACACCTACTAGCTTTTTCGTTTATTCCTAAAAACATCAGTGACACATTTCGCTCAGAGGTTTGTGTGTTGTCTTCCAGGCGGCCTGCAGGTCGTGGCCGATCTGATCCACCTGGACCACGACATGTACGGCATGCAGAACGACCCCATCAACATGGCTCTGCGCCGCTACGCGGGGATGGCTGTGACCAACCTCACCTTCGGAGACGTCGTCAACAAGGTACAGACTCACTGTGGTGGCTTTGACTGCCCTGCATGGATCAGTGGGCTGTGATGTCTAACAGCTGGAGTGAGGGCAAGGACAAAGTGTTGTGGTGAAAATATGTATCATTGAGCAAACGGTAGATTAAATCAACTTTATTGATCCCACGCATGGAAATTAAGTAGTGCTGGGCAACGATTAAAATATTTAATCGCGATTAATCGCATGGATTTTTTGCGATTAATCGCGATTAATCGCATTGTTATGGCAAAGTTCAATAATGAATTCAAAAGTAGTGTATTGCGCACTTTTATTTTAAAAGTACTGCTATATGAACAAAAGTGCAATAACATTTGGTTCACGAGATGCAGGTAGCATGTTTTATACTTAATGTGAATATAATTCATACTTTGTTGGCATCTTATTCTGAAAACCGGATGTTTGTCTGAAGAAACCGGATGTTGTCTCACGTTAATGTTTCCGCTAACTTTCACTAGCTCCCGATCTGTGCCGTTTAAATGCATTTACCGTGAATTTCAGCATATAGGTGCACTAAAATGTAAGTGTCTGCTGACTTTACCGCAGCGATGTCCAGTAGTCTCCAGGGAGAGCAACAGCTGGTGCAGCTTCTCTCTTTATTTCTGCCCCCCCCCCTCGACCAGAAGCGGAAGTCGCCTTTTCTCTACGGCAACCCTGAAGGGATCAACATCATATCTCCAATACAAAACGATAAACATGAGACAGTCTGTTACAATAATAATAAATTAAAAATACTTACCTGTTTTTTTTTGTTTTTTTGTTGTTGTTTTATTATTATTTTTTTTTTTTCCCCATCTCAAAAGGCTCAAGGACATACACACACACACACACACACACACACACA